TCCCAGGGCACCGACAATAGCCCTCCCGCCGATACCTCGGCCCATGCCATCCCTCGAAGCAACAATAATGTGCCCAAGCCAAAGAGGCTTGCGTGTATGTTATGCCGCAAGAGGAAGCTCCGTTGCGACGGCATAAAACCGAGCTGTAGCACCTGCACACGTCTCGGCCACTCTTGCGAGTACGATGAGGTTAGGAAAAAGAGCGGCCCCAAGCGCGGCTACGTGAAGGCACTGGAAGAGAGGTTGAGTGAGTGCTATGACTTCATATGCGCCGAGATGTTGCCAAGAAGTTAACCTTCGGGATCTGTGTAGAGCAAGTCGAAGAGCTTTTAAAGACCCAGGAGCCTGCCAGCAGCACGAGCCCCGAAACTACGAAGACGCCTAACGTGGCGTTCGAGCAGACCCGAAGCCAGCAAGCCAGTGCTCCCGCTAGCTTCAATGTCGCCAACCCCTCGATAGCAATCGCTGGCGACCGCGACTTGGATAGGTGGCGCTTCAGCGGAGAGTCGCCTCAAGGAAACGGCTTGGACGAGTTCAACTTCACGAGCAACATGCCTATGAGCATGAGCAATATGGACCCGAGTTTCACCTGGGAAATGATTGGACTAGGCCTTGAAGAGCCTCTCCCACCGCAAGAGACCATTGACGAACTGTAAGCCGTACGTTGTCACGATACCACGCCAGATTTCTCACCGTCTTAGGCATCAGATTTTCTTCGAAAAGATTCACCCTTCGCTCCCGATGATCCATAAGTTTCGATATCTAGCGGCGATGAATTTGTATGTCTCAAGACGTGTTCGTCTTTTTCAATTTTCGCTCCTCTACCGCCCAGCCTCTTGAGGCACTCCTCGCTCACCGGCACTACTAGGGCACCAAGCCAACGACCACCGGTGGCGTTGCGATATGCGATATGGACTCTGGCTTGTTCCATCACTGATAAATACAAGGACCTCAAGGACCTTTTTTACCAACGTGCTCGCAAATATGTCGAAGCTGACGCCATCAAAGGTTATGGTGAACACTCGATAACTATTGCTCATTGTCAGACTCACGTGCTGCTGGCCTCCTATGAATTTAAAATGATGTACTTTCCAAGGGCCTGGATGAATACCGGCGCAGCGGTGCGCCTTGGCCAAATGTAAGCCCCACTGAGCATACCGAGAGATCATCTATGCTCACTGCTATGGATAGGATTGGCCTTCATCGAATCGATGGCAATGGTCTAGACGTCAAGCAGTGCCTCCCCCCGCCGCGCGACTGGACGGAGAGGGAGGAGAGACGAAGGACATTCTGGATGGCGTTTTGCGAAGACAGATATGCCAGCATCGGCACAGGATGGCCGATGACGATTGATGAGCGGGACATCATGACCAACTTGCCAGCGTCCGAGGAGGCTTTCAATCTAAGTCGGCCAGAACAAACGCAAACACTGGCAGATGCGATGAGCCCGGCCGGCGCCGCTAAGTTATCGGCATTTGGCGGCATAGTCCTCATGGCTACACTCTTTGGCCGTAATCTTACCCATCTTCATCGGCCGGATGTCGATGATCGCGATCACGATATGCACGGTGAATTCTGGAAACGGCACAGGCTTCTGGATAATATTCTTCTCAACACCTCATTAAACCTTCCAAATCAGCTCAAGCTTCCCGCTGGGCTCAATAACCCAAATATCGTCTTCACGAACATGAACATCCACACGTCGACGATATGTCTACATCAAGCGGCTATATTCAAGGCCGATAAGAACATACTCCCACCGACAGTCAGCGCAGAGAGTAAAGTTCGTTGCATCACAGCAGCGAATGAAATTGCGAGTATAATGAGGATGACTTCTCATATGGACCTATCCGTAGTAAGTCATTGTCAGCTAAGGATATAATGAACTGTACTTACGAAAAATCATAGATGAATCCTTTCATTTCTTTTTGCTTATATGTAGCGGCGAGAGTTTTTGTTCAGTACCTGAAGAGTCGTCCCGATGATTGTCAGACCGCAGACTCGTTACGATTTCTCCTTGCCGCCATGAATGCGCTGAAGAAGAAGAATCCATTAACAGAGTCGTTCCTGGTTCAGCTTGATGTCGATTTGGAGGCATTGGGCCTGCGAATACCAAAGCTCAAATCTGCATTTCCACGAAGCACGGATAGCGTAGGTTTCATTCCTCGACTCGTCTGCGCCTGTCTCAAACAAATACTAACCTACGTGACTCGTCAGCCGACTCCGGGAATGAATAAACCGAGTTTACATACAAGACCCGATGGCAGTCCCAATAACAACGGCCCTCGAAATGGCGTGGAAACTGTATTCGAGGACCAAGGCTGCAATTATTTAGCCTATGACAAAGGAAATCCTCTAGCTGCCCCTGAACTTATCGAGCCAGAACGGCAGAACCAGGGTAACGAGGGATCACACACCAACCCCTTTGGGACACAGCAATGGTATTCAGGAGAACAGCAAATACCATCGCGTGAACGGGGCCCAGGACCCGATAACGCGGCGAATGGCTTAGTTATCCCCCCCGTGATGTACACGCCTTACATAGAAACTCAGGGTAGCGACGGTAACGATGTCTCGGTCTCATCGAACCCAGATGGACAATCCAATCGACCGACACCGAACTCAAGTAGCAATGCCTCGGAGCAACGGCGCAGTGTGGCTGGGACGGGTCCTATAGCGAATTCCGGTGGTGCATCGTTCAGCACTAGCCCCATCGGATCACACCAGATCCAGGGGACCGAGGTGGATACGTCAGGGACGTCCTTTTTTCCCGATCATGGCTTTGGGACTGGCGTGACCCCGGGTCGGACGTTCGCCATCCCAGACACGCCCGGCAATGATTTCAGCATGCCAAGCAGTTGGGAACCTGGGCAAGCGGGCATGACTCCGAGAACGGCTGAAGCGATAATGCAGGGCCTCAACATGCCCATAGATGGCCTAGAGATGAACTGGGAGGCGGAGTAAAATCTCTTGTTTCTTCCAGGATGCTGTTTGAATTAAGGGCCATTGCTTGGGTGAGCGGTATTAGGAACGTCGAATGCGCCTACGAATTAAGACAGGTTGGTGTAGGGGGAGCTTACTGGTAACAATCGGCGAAATGGGATTACACGAAGGGCCGGGTTCCTGGGAAGTTACGATGTTCACGTTGTTAGCCTCGATCATGGGCTTAATGAAAGGCGGGATAAGCCTCGGCAAACGAGCACCGAGGCTGTATTATCATCTCTTTAGACGAAAGGGGTATCATTGGATGGAGACAAACGGGTCATTTTTCTGGGCAACATTTATGTACTATATGCGAGCAGAGAGGGGCCGTCCTGTAACGACTTTTGATATCCACTCCCACCACGATAATCACAAGATAAATATCTAGCTAATGAAAGACAAACCATGAAGGCTGTGAGGAAGGCTAGAGGCCGAGAGCATTGGTCTATCAGGGAATACTCGTCCAGGAGAGAACACGGGTAGCGAGTTGAAGATCCCCCATAGGATTGGGGGATCAGACTCCTGAGATGCTTCGGCTTGGCGGTTCGGTAGCCGAGACGGTTTCGAGCTGCAGCATGTACTACGTAAGTAGGTTGGGAGACATCATGGGTAAGGTGTGATCTTCATAAGCCACGATCTCAGCTGAACGAACCGCGGCTCCAGGGTGACTGAAGCAGACATGTGCTTCAATTTCTCCTTTCCCTCCTGTGCGTGTGCGAATTGCAGGATATGGCATACCTGACGCCGAAGTCAAGGAATTGGGGCCCGACCATCTCGTCAGCACTGCGTGAAGAGGTTTGCGGTACATACTCCGTTCACAAAGACGGCGAGTCGGTCAACCAAGGACTTACAACAAGTACTACGTAGATCTGGAACGGGTACCGAACTGATGAGAGTGGACCGAGCTATAGTCCGGTGGAGCCGTCGACCGGCCTCACTTTTAGCGCCCGTCGCACTTCTCAAGGCGGCCGTATTAAAGGCTTGGCATCTCGCCTACGCTGCGTTCCCTGGGTTCAAGGGTTTTCACTGTTTGAGGCGTGCGACAGATTTGGGCTTAGCGCCATCGCCGCTTTTGCTCAGGCTCGGCTCAGCCCATCATCAGGCCAGATCAAGCCGTTGACTAAGGACATAACGCACGGGTAGTGAAACGGTTACAGTCCTTAGCTGCCCGAATGCCAAATTTGTACCACTCTCAAGCTGTATCAACGCTCTACGGAGTACCGCGAATCGCGTACCTCACTGCCTCGAGGTCGCTAGCAGAGCTTCGTTGCGCACTCATTCACTACTTCACGCGCCTCCCATTCCCCTCCGCATTTATACTCCGTACTGGCCAGCATCATCCCTTACCTCGAGTCCTGCTGCACTCTTGTGATGCCATTGCGCTCGTGTGCCTAGACGTAGCGATGACCAGGCTCCGAGATCTAACACACAGCTCAAATTCCACCGCAAAGTCTTTTCAAAACATCATCTCGAGAAGACTAAGCCCAAGACCTGCAAACTAAACAACCCGTCATGTACCGCTGACGGACCTCGTCATTGAACCCTTCTCTAATGCCCTGGGTGGCGAGCTGTTGCTTGACGAGGTCGAGAGCAATATTCATAAAAGACTCGGCAGACTCGCAGGCTTGAGGCCAATGCTAGCCTTTGCTCGAGATGCTCACGAGAATGCGCTTTGCAGTCATTGTGATGGTGGCCGAGTGTGTCTGCCGGGTTGGATACTAGAGTTGTCTCGAGTGGAAAGATTGAGAAAGTAAGATGTTAGTTATCTAGGGAGCACCTGGACGAGGCCGGGCAGTATGAGCAGGCAGATTTAAGCAACGGTACCTTGCAGTACAACAGTCAGCTGCGACATGCCATCCGCCTTCTACTGTACAGCGAAGAATTATGGGTTGTTTAAAAATCATGTTTTTACTGTACAGTGATACAATAGCCCAGCGGTTTATTGACCTGCATGGCGCTGCAGAAGCATTACTTTGATCTATAATGTTCCAATGGACAGTGATGTCATAACCAACGTAGCCCGCTTGGCTCAGCGGTAGAGCGTAAGATCAAACTTAAATCTAAATCTTAACCAGCGCATACTAACTTACTATAGGCATCACTAGTAATGATGAGGTCGTCAGTTCGACTCTGGCAGTGGGCATTTCTTTTTTATTTTTGTTTGCCTACAAACTAGTCCGTCGCAACTGTTAAGCAGATCCTGGTTAATCCAATGGGTTTATGATCAGCGCCAGTAAGTGACGAGCGTTTGACGAATGCATTTTTATATCTCCTTACCGCGGACAGCAAGAGATCTTCATAATTTCTAGTCGAATGTGTCGACCAGACCGTATGAGGCTATTTCTAGCCAGACTGCATCCGTTTTAAAGCGCTAGTTTGCACCAGGTTTACAAAATAGTGAGATATATTTGCGCTTAGACCACTACTAGCTAGTGAGGCGACTTCCGGGATGTCACTCAACGAAGAGGTTGTTGACCGAGGATGAAGCGAATGGAAGGAATTTGTTGAAATAAGGGATGATGGTACACTCTGGGCACTCCCCTGTATATACCTAGGTATGTACACCTACTTCCCCAGAGCCGCAGGCTCCCTTCTTCTTCTTCTTTGAATCATGCTGAATATACAACTGCTTACCTGATCACTTGTATGTGTCTCCACTCTTCTTGACAGAATTGCAGCTCAATACATTTTAAATATATGATGTATTAATCACGCCAGCCCTGCGACTGGCGCATGGAAAGACCGTTTTTGAATAACACGGTCGTCTTCTATGGTAAGGTATACTGGATTACTCAGGCCAAGCTCAGGCTAAAAGCGGCACCGCTCTGGCGATAGTGTCCCCTGTTCCAAGTCGAAGCCCTGGGCCCCCTAGCCAGACCCTAGCCGTGCGCCTGTGCGCCCGTGCACCTGTGCCTAACCTACATACTATGTACAGAGCTATGTACACTACTTTAGACCTAAAACTAAACCCGGACAGACACTAGACTAGGTACCTAGTGTAGGGATGTACAAGGCCTACCTAGGTATATCTATACCTACCTGATACCTATAGCAAGTTTCACGTAATGACTATGACGCGGGGCATCGACGTTAACGGAGTCATAGGCAGCAGCCGATAGGTAGTTGGTAGATGTCCACCTTGGAAGCATACAATAACAGAAACAGAAACAGGAACAGGAACAGGAACAGGAACAGGAAACGGGGACGGGGACGGGGACGGGGACGGAGACGGGGACGGGGACGCAAACAGCGACAGGCACGGGAAGACGATGGTGACGGCGACGGTGATGATTCACCCATCCATCCATCCATCCATCCATCCATCCATCTATCCATCCAATCCATATCCATCCACCCATCCATCCACCCATTCATCCCTCGTACCAAGCGTTTTATTTTCGTGTCCTGTCACCCACTGGCATCTGTCGCCCCGGTCGACTGGTTATTTTATTTATTTCTGTGACCACGACCAACCCTCATGGGACGGCCGATATTGGTCCGATTTGACCCAGGTCGAGCAGCCGGGCACAACGCACGCGACTAATAAAGCCCCTTCCACGGCTTCTCCCTGCCCAATCCCCTGTCTCTCGACACTGCGAGACACCAGGCGGCAACGGGAAGGACCGAGCCCACGACCACGACCAAGCCATTTTTTCAAGTCCACTCCCACGCCGTCCATTTTAATCGCGCCCAAACTCAGCGGCGTCTGTGTCTGTGTCCGTATTTGTGTCTGTGTCCGTCTGTCTCGCTGCCCGTCTCGTTGCCCCTCCTTCGGCTCTGAATGTGCTTTAGGTGCCGACAAACACCGGTGCCTTCAACGTCCGCCGCCGGCTCTCGTCTCGACCTTGGCTCTCCCGTCTTCTCGTATTGTTAGACAGGCAGCATGCGACATGGGCTGGGCTAAGGCGCGGGCAAGCTGCGTCGGTCAGAAGCATCATCGACGGCCCCAGCAGCATACTGGCAGCATACCGGCATCAATCCCCAGCGACGAGCACGAACAACCCGCTCACGACCTCGACGACGACGACAACGAACGCCCGAAATACATAGATACGTGAATATATATTGATGTTGATGTCAATCTATGTATATATCATACATCATACATCATATATCATCATGGACCCGGCCTCGATCCATTTCTCCTCTTCAGAAGATCATCACCTCCCACTTTCTCACGATGTCCACCACCACTCGAGCCAACCGCCGCCGCCCCATGCTTTCCGCATTTCCGCCCTCCCATCTCATCCGAGTCTCGATCTCTCCATGAACGCCCATGGCCCCGTCTTTCAGCACCACCTGCAACGTCTGAACCCCCTCTCGAACATACCTGATGTCCATCCAGACTTCGCTCACGCACACCACTCGCCGCAGGACGACTTCGACCGTGATCAGCCGCCGCCGTCTGCGCCATCAACCCACCTACACCCTCCTCACCCACACCCTCGCCCACACCATTCTGGCCCGCCAAGCCAACAACATTTCGGCCTCTTGGCTCCTGATATTCCCATATCTCAGTCTAGTAATATACCCCAGATCAGTCCAGAGGAGGATGCGTTCGCCGCACGATCTGGGCCACCGTCTCTAGTCGCCATGCCCGAGCCCCCGGCGGAACAACGACCACACGGGCAGTTGGTGAATAGGATAGTGGTTGATCCGCCCAATCTTGCGGCCTGGCGTGAAAAGTTGTTCAATGTTGATGATACTATTACCTTGACCAATGACGAGTGCGCCCCGCCCAACGCCTCCCCTCGTTTCCTGATGTTGGTGTGAGAGCTAATAGGCCTTGTTCCCAGATTCGAAACTTATTTCCCCCATATTGATAATGTTTACTCGCATCGCTCAACCCAAAAATACAAGCGAAAAAACTTCAGTTAGTCTTGTTTTGCTACCATTGTCTTGCCTATCTTAGCCCATGCCGAAGCCAAGGTGACTTGAGCCAGGATTCCATGTAGGAGCTAGATCCATGTAAAGAACTCGGTTCATCCCGAGACGGGCCACCCCTCCCCCTCTTCTCAATTTAAACACCGAATAGGGCCATTACTGATTTTGGGTACCAGTCTCCCACTACTGGGACTGTCGAATGAAAGGACGTCCTCCTGGTACTCCCAAGTCTGACGATCCCGCTAAAAAGAAGCGGAAACGCTTTGCACGAGAACGCGATCTTTGCGATGTGAAGATCAAGATTACTGAACACTTCCCTGATGCAACATTCTCAGCGGATGGCAGTATCAACGCCTCTCCGACCACCGGCTTCCCACCACTGCATCAGTTCCCAGATGGGATACTACGACCTCTCAACAGTCAAAGCACCGCAAGAAAATACTGGACCATTCAAAGAGTCAACGGCAATGGGGGGAACGGTAAAGGGGATGGCGTTCCAGGGCCACACAAACACACGCTCCAGAAGAGCGACGAGATCAAGAAGTCCACAGTGCAGAGATTTCTCGCAGCGCAAGAGAAAGAAGCCAAGAAAGGGCAGGTGAGTTTTGTTCTTGTGTTTCTCTGCATGTATTATCTGGGGGTCCAAGTTCTATCCTCGAAACGGGGTATAATGTGGTCTCCTCGACCGCCTTTAGATGTATCAACAACAATATCAAAAACTTGTTGTCTGAAACTACTACGCAGCTCTTTGCTCGCTCCAGCCAAGCCCCGCACAATAATGATTTCATTGTATAGTGGCATCATGTACTCAGCATGCTAATTCAAGACAAGCAGAAGCCAGTGCAACAAAAGAGGCCATCTGGAAACGCTCTTGTGACTGCTAAAAGGCATCTGAAAGAGCATCCATTGAAGCTCTATGCCGCAAGCTTCTGGTATGCCCATATCTTGCCGGTGGGGTCACTTTATGCTAATGTATGAGTGACGGCAGCCCCTTCTCTCAGCGGGTATGGATCGCTCTTGAAGCAAAGGGCATGCCATACCAATACTGCGAGACCGATCCTTTCAAGCGTCCAACACAATTGCTGGAAGCAAATCCCCGAGGGCTAGTTCCAGCCATTCGGCAGGGCGACTGGGCTAGCGGAGAGAGCACAGTCATTCTAGAATATGTAAGTGTTCGGTAGACACTGACCACGTTTGCCATCGCTCACAACGAATACACAGCTCGAAGATTATGACCGTAGAGTTCCTTTGTTGCCCACAGACCCGAGGCTCAAAGCCAATTGTAGATTATGGATTGACCATGTATGACAGGCCTGTCTTCTCTCCCCTCTTTCACGAATTATTGCAACTAACCTATCCAGATCAATGCGAAGATAGTCCCCGCATTCTTCGCCTTGATGAGAACGCCAGACCCCCCAAAACAGACTGAATATATTGATAGGCTTCAGAGTGATATCTTAGCTTTGGTTCAGGCCGCCGACGAGCGAGTAGGTTCTCGATAGCGTCGATCGGGGCTTCACTTCCTAACTTTATTCTTAGGGCCCCTATTTCCTTGGAGGCGACTTGTGCCTCGTTGACATTCACCTCGCTCCTTTTATCCTCCGAATGTCTCGTATACTTCGCGAGTTCCGTAACTGGCACGACCCGATGCCAGGCACGCGGTGGCAGCAATGGTCCGACGCCCTCGAGCAGAACCCACATGTACAGGCCACGACGAGCCAAGATGAACTCTATGTTGAAACGGTAGATTTGTTTCTGAGAGCTCGTCCACAATACGGCGAACAGCCGCTGTGTTAAGAAAAGGACGCTTATCGGCCATCTGGGGAAAAAAAAAAGGTTTCTCTTTTACGTGACCATGACGGCGGATAGAGAAAAAAAAAAGAGGGGGGGGGCGGGGCGGGGCGGGGTATTGCACGTTCAAGCACATTCAATATGTTAGATGTTTTCATCGGGCTACGATACTGCATATAAGGGGTGTTGATCTTCTACTAAAGATAGAAAACGAGTTCCGAGGTTGAGGGAGAGAAGATAAATACGAACATAGAGGGGTAAGTCCAAAGATTATTTAGCCGGATTTTAGCAAAGAAAACATCATTTTGAATGGCTGGGTAGTACCGTAGTAGAATAGTCGTTGAATATTATACCGCGCTCGGTGATAAGAAACGGAGTCAGATTTTCACCATACCTTGCAAATTTGACAAGTGGATGGCGCTAGATACTTCTTACGTTACGACCACGATTTTTACTTGTAATTATTGC